CTCTTCTTAATGCACCCGAGGATCCCATTGGCCTTCTTGGCATGTAGCCCTGGCCTCTCCACAGGGTTTACGGTGTCCTGAGGCCAGCACTCAGCTCTAACGCTCAGGCAGGACACGCGGTCAGAGCCTTGGACAACGGCTGCCTTCCAGGGGCACACTCACATTGCGGCATTACACTAAATTCCTTGAACCTCAGCTGGACAACAGCATGCCAGATGTGCGAAGCTCTAGGTTTTTAATAATACCATTCCTCTATACTTCTTGCCCAATACACATTTTCTTTTTGCTTTGAAAAACAGATTTCCATTACATTTATCAAGGTAATCAATATCACAGTATCTTTGTACACCACAGAAAGTGAGAAGCAAAGAGCTCTGTACGTAAATATGAATCATGTATTTTGTATGTTACACCTTCCACAAAACCAGGTAAGAAACAAGGCAGTTAATCGTAAATTAGAAGATTTGAAGGCTATAGAAGTACTGGTAGAACTAGCATGATACACGCAATGGCCTATTTCAGTCATAAATCACTAGAAAAAGAGAACCTTTAACTTTTAAAACTGATCACAGTTTTAACAAATCAATGACATAAATTTATTTTTGTCATGCTATTATTCGAGCATGGCAACAACAATGGAAATTCCCTGCAGTTTTATTCAGGCCAGCTCCTAATTGGAAATCTTTTATTCTGCAAAACTTTGTGCTAGAGCACGAAGTCCTCATAGTGGGGTTAATGAAGGAGTGGACTTCTCTCAATGCTTAGAAACCTCTTTTCCAACAGCTGCTCCTCCCTTAGACACAGATAGTACCCCAAACCAAACCGGTTTGAAATCGAAAAGAATATTACCCCTTTAATATACATTAAAGTACTGTAATCTTTTAAAAGACAAGCCCCAAATAATTGTTATCTCAGCATATAAAACAGTGAAAAAACCCCTAGATTTCCAATATATAATAATGATAATAATAATAAAAATAATAATAAAAATACTTATTGTGCATTGGAGAATTTCTCTCTGCTTTAGTTTACTATTTATAAACCACCAGTCTGGGATTAATTATTATAAATCCTTAAAGCCGAAAAGAAGATTTGAGGCATGTTACGTTATGTATAATCTATACCATTATTAAACTGAAGCTCAAATACACATGATGCCCTATTTCTGTAGGTAAACTTTAAATATTTATCTATGGTAAGTTTTATTCCCCTAGAGAAGTTATTTCTTATTATTTTCAAAACATTAGACTGCCTGATGTGATTCTGTATGGAAGAAATAATATTGTTTGTAAAGTACTCAGCATACTCACCTGGCACCCCGGCCCTCATCCAGTGATCAATGTCTGTTCCTTCTGCAGGGTCATAAATATCCGTAATATTGACAGGCAGCAGGAGCGTCATGATCTCTCTCACAATGTCACGAGCTTCATTGGTACCAGTAAAAGCCAGTCCCATTGGCTTGAAGGTGCCCTCATCAGACTCCATGACAATATCAAAATGGGAGATATTTTCCTAAATATGTAAGGAAAGAATAAATTATTTCCGGATTTCTGTTCTTAACTAACAGGATATATTGTAATAGCAGACAATATCAAATTTGTTGAACAAGCAGAGAAATGTCCCCTGTGATCATATCAAATATAAACATAATTTAATCTCTTGGATTAAAAATATTGCAATAATTCAAGTTTGGTTTTGAGGTAATCAGTATTTTATTTGATCCACAACATGGCTGGTCCACTGTTCCCAAAATAATTGTACTGAGGCTTAGAAGGTATCATCTGGAAATGTAAGCCATTACCACCATCGCTTTATTTTCCTTGCAGCTCTTGTTTTCTTCTCAAACCTAAAGCTTAAGAAGTTCTACTGCAGAGTGGAGAGCATGCAGTTTCTTCAGCTTTAAGTTAGACATTTTAAAAGTCACTGTGGTCACTGTGAAGGATATCCTACCAGTTATTGTCTCTTAAAAAGCATATTATTTTCAATACACTGTGTGGTCCACTCTGACTTAGGTAAAGGACTGAAATTCTAAAGTTCAATCTGACCTGAAGGAATTAATGCTTATTTGAAAGAAAGCTAGTGTTTTCAAGGTAAACCTTTACAGGAAAGATGAATTTTTAAGAATATATCTATAAATGGCATAATAACAATTGCTTTCACGTGCACTTGGAAAATTATTTTTTAGATAAAAACTTTCAATTCCAGAGCCATTTATTTGCCTCTTAGGCACTCAGAGCACACAGTCATGAAGGTCTAATTGAAATAAAGTACTTATGAACTTCACAGGAAGGTAAGTTTTATTCTTTGGAAGAGCCACTTAACCTGTTTTTGCACAATAATGCAGTTTACGGCCAGTCCTGCAGAAAATGTTATACTTCAAAACAGCTTAAAAATGATTAAGAGAATTTACTCACACTTGTAAGGGGTGAGAGATTTTACTTGTATGCTCAGATCTGCTTTCAGAATTGTATTACTGCCATATCATTAAAAGGACTACTGCTGTCAATGAGTAAGTCAGTAAGTAATTCCTTCAGCTTTTCCTGGATATAAATATGAACTACAATGTGGTGGCTGTGAACTACAGGTGGCTGTGAATACAATATTGCACAAATACCAAACAAAACCCCATATGTTTGCAGAAGTTTATAGAATTTGCCAAGAATTTTGTCTTACATTATTGTATTTATGTTTATACTTTTATTTATACTTTTCCAGAATTTCTCTCTTTTGAGTGAAATAAGTTCAAACATAACAGATATTCACTTCTAACTTAGAAATATATGTATCAGCTAAAAAAATGGTACACACTACTTGCAAATGAAGAAACGACCTTAAAGCTTTATAAAACTTTCAAATAACCAATCCACCTATCCCTTCATCTGCTTGACTGCTGAAAGTCAAGACGAAATAAGTGCCACTGTCACTAAACTGGCAATTGCTATTTTTGCATAATAAAAAACCCTTAAGTCTTTAAAAGTCTAAGCATAAAGAATTAGAATACATGTGTGTGACAGGGTGTCTAACCCTGTTATCAAAAGCGGTATTAGAGGTCACAAATCTCAACATGAGATCCTGATACGTTGATCCTGATATGTTGATAACGAAATGGAAGAGAAGCAGGCCAAGGAAAACACACTATTGCAAAAGGGACTAAGGATGCTAAAAAGGTTCAACAGAAAGAATCTCTTCTTGAATGAAAATCTTCAGATTATAAGTCAAAGCTGAGGCAGTGTAAGAGCTAGGGAAGACGCTACAAATTTCTGCTGGTGAATGGAATCAGAAGCAAAGATTTGCCATTGAAGAGCCAGTATTTACTGAAGTCAGCATATTCATGCTTTGTGAAGAGGTGGAAAACAGAGCAAAGGGATGGTGCCAGGCAATCATACGTGATCATTACTAGCAAGAGGGAACTCAATAATATTGCCCACTGGACAATACTGTGATGGAATTGATTCAGAAACTGACCTTTTGGCTGAGGTTTCAGAGCAAAACTTCTCATAATTATTAAGGAAGTTGCAATGGGTGGGAACAATAAAACCAATGGAGAGGATTACTCAGGGCTGGGGGAGGATGGCACTAAGGTAAGGGGAAGAGAAAGTATGGATGGATACAGAAAAATCTCCACCTACCAGTACGTGGAACAGAATTCCTAACTTACAAAACTGTAGAAACTGCTGGGGTAGGAGGGCATTTGCCAATTGCTTTCTTTCTCATATAAATGTACACATGTGCTTTCAATAGGAAACTGAGAAAATGAACCACCCAGAAGGCATCACACTGTATTTTTACACTTCATTTATACCATAAAGCTGTTGAATTCTTAGAAAATGCTGTAGTGAAGTGAAAACAGAATGTTTTGGGGAGAGAGAGCAGACTCATTGGGGATCAAGAAATAACTACCTGAAGTGCCATATGTCCTTGAGAAAGCTTTTTGTCTGCTTGGTTCAGTAGAAGGTATGACTAACTTTAAATCTGTTCTTTGTCAAACTTGCTAGTAGGAGATTCTAAATATATAAAAAAAGGTGGTGGGGGGGGTTGGACTGATTTCATCATACCCACTTCTGTATATATATATATGTATTTTAGCACTTCTACTTATACAGAAAGAAATATGCTTTGGAAAATGTGCTATGGAGAAAAAGCCTCCTTCGTCTGACTTGGAGTGGGAATAACTGCTATTTATCAAAGCAGCCTGAGACTGTACATTGGCCAACGAAGTGCCCAGCAATATGTCACAATAAAATTTTATAAAATACCTGTCGGCTCAGCTGTTTCCTCCATCTCCCCATATTGAATGTATCATTTAAATAAGCAAGCTCAGTGTAAAATCAATCCACAGTTGTTTTTCAGAGAATAATCCCTTTTGCTGCATCCTGTTACTGTGCCACTTAGCACACACCAGGGCATTAAATCTTGTTAGTGTAGCCTGCTGCCTAGTTCTCTAAACATCAAATGAGATGTTTTTCCTTATCATTCCTATGACTGGGTCAGAAGAAGTCACTTCACTTTATCTTATCATGTTTACATCTTATAAAAAGGATCTAAATGAAACATTACAATCAAAATTATAAGGGAAAACTGGCTTTGTACAGGTCATTATTTTCACTGAATATGCAAATAGACATGCTCCTTGCTAAAACCTCCTCTAGTTTTTAAAATTTCAAGTTCAATTTCTTTTATTTGTTTTATTTATAAAACAATCTACTTTTATCTCTGCTAAGCAAAACCAAAATATACTTTAAGTGTTTCTCATCTCAAAAGCAAGCACTTGAAAACATTAAATTATAGTCAGATATTTCTAACCAAGAAAATAGAAATCTTATACGTTTGACAAAGATTACTGGTACTTCTTTCTGTAAAAACAAGTCCCATTTAGAGTAAACCCTGGGAAAGTCACCACTCAGCGAGGCGGTTTACTTGCTCCGTTGAAAATCCCCATAATACCAACCAATGTAAAAGTAGATTCCAGAATCTCATGACTAAGAGACTGAGTCACTGATTGAAATTCCTCCTACTCAGCTAAAGCAGTAAGAAACCTGAAAGGATAAGGGAGGAAAGAGCTGCCCTGAAAGACTTCAGAAACCTGGCGCTATTTAAAATGGTGTTAACTACTTGTCCAACAGCACATTTTCTGGTATTCTTTTTAATCCTTCTGAGAAATGCCAACATTTTACAGAGAAAATATTTAAGCTTTTAATGGCAATTCATTGTCCTTGACTAAGGGCTAATTTGTTCCAGTAATAAGCGGCATCAGTTATTTGACAGCGCACTTCTAGCTTTCTGTTACTGATTTACGCTTCGCTTCAGGAAACGACACCACTTGTAGCCCTGTCTCCCAGTGCTTGATTCAGAGCCATTTGGAGCGAAGCACAGCATGGCAGCAATCATTTCACACAGCTATGGTGAAATGACAGTCATCTCACACTACTGAAAGTATGTTTAAATCAACTCCCATTTGTTAGTCTAGCATCTAAGAATGTAGGAAAGACAAAAGAGAACATCTGAAATACCTAAGTGGATGTGACAGCTGAAAGCAAAAAAACAGATAATATCCTTTAAGTATTTAACAATATATAAATATTACATAGTATAATTTTGAACTGCTGTTTGGGATCAAGATTATTTAATGAAGCAGAAGATCATAAATGGAAACTAGAGAAAACAGCCATTAGGAGCAGGAATCTGCTGGCAGCAAAGGATAACACTTACCAGCCACGAGCAGGATCATACACACAGCTCAAACTCTTTGATTGCGGGCAGGGAATATCAGGATCAACATAAGTTAGAAATTTTTGTAAGTTACTGTGTCATTAAATGGGAGAAAGTCTCAGTAAAGCTAGAGATAGTTTTACTAGATGATAAGGTACGAAAAAGACTCAAGATTTTGCTAATGGTAAGATGAAATATTCTTCTGCCACATTTTGTGGCAGTCAGTAAAGCTGTCAGTAAAGGACAAAAATGTTATGACTTGTTTTCTCTTAAAGTCATGGCATGAAGTTCTGACCTCAGAGAAGCTAGTGACAAAAGTCCCAGTAACTTCAACAGGGTTGGAACCAGATTCAGTCATTCACCTATTAACATTCCACTCAGTAAAAACATACTACTAGCAACACCACTGTCTGGTGTTGTTCAATACCATCACTCTCTCTCTCTGCAACCATTTGCCATCAGTCACAGAGAATCCCATTCTGTTTTGTAAGTTCTGAGGAATGATATAAAGAAGAAAACAGCCAGCTCTAAGGACAGCAGCATGCGAAGGGAGGTATGCACCAGATTACCTGTAGCCTTCTCCCAAGGCATTTTCTTGACAAAGAGACTTATCAAAGAAAAGTGCTCTTCCTAGAAACCGTATCATATCTTAAATTCTTTCACTGTACAAAAATAAGGGTGTGAAAACACTGCCAGTGACTCCGACGGATTCTGTCTTACTGTCAGATGTATCTTAGGTTTTCATTTGAAAACAGGCAATACTGCCCAAATTTTCCAATTAAAAATTCTGGTTTTCCTCTTCC